TGTGTGTGTATGTGTGTGTGTGTATGTGTGTGTGTATGTGTGTGTGTATGTGTGTGTGTGTGTGTGTGTGTATGTGTGTGTGTGTATGTTGAGTTTGTGAGATGAGTGTACAGGGTATACACTCATGTATACAGAGTATGCCCATGTATGGAGAAGGTGCATGTCTAGTGTGTTAGAGGTATGACTGTAGGGTGTTCGTGCATGTATATGGATTGTGTCCATGTGTGTATGTTAAATCTGTATATGTAAGTGCTTCAAGGGTACCTCTCTATGATATTTGTGTATGTAGAATGTGTTGTGGAATGTGTGCTTACACTGACTTACCATGACAAGTACAACTCAGGAGTATTACTATAAAGATGTATTTATGGTGTGTGTCTATGTGTGCCTGTGAAGGGATGAAGGATGCATATGGTTGTGTGTGCTTAGGAGGGTGTACATAAATGTGTATACGTGACTGAAGAAGGCTATGCAGTATATATGTCTAAGATGTATGTATTAGGGTATCAGTATGTGTTTGTAGGTGTTTAAGGATGGAGAGTTTGTGTGTGTGTGTGTGTGTGTGTGTAGAGTGAGGTGTGTAAAGGTGTGTGTGCATGCTTGTGTGTGGATGCTGGCTAAGTGTGTGGTAAGACCATAATGGAAAAGTGACTTCACAGTTCAGTCAAGGGATAGTTCATTACCCAGAGCAGCACTTGAGCATTTGAATATGCCTACACGGGAAAGGTAGGTTGGGACATTTTCCTTTTACTAAATTGTGGCCAGGCCACATTGCAATTAATGCTAGTTTTGGTTTTCAGGAGATTCATAGTTTGGGGGTGAATGGGTGGCCTGTTTCTTCTTCTTTTTTTTATATTTTATTATTTTTATTTTATGTGTCTGAGTGTATTGCCTGCATGTATGTGAGTGCACTCGTGTCGTGCAATGCCATGGAGGTCAGAAGAGGGCTTCGGATTCCCCTGGAACTGGAGTTAAGGACAGTTCGTAGCTGCCATGTGGGTGCTGGGAATTGAACCCGGGTCCTCTGCAAGAGCAGTCAGTGCTCTTAACTGCTGAGCCATCTCTCCATCCCTGGCCTGCTTTTTCTTACAACACTTAGGACATCAAATATGTGGGATTTTTTAAAAATTTTATTATTTTTATTTTATGTGTATGCGTGTATTGCCTGCATGTAGGTGAGTGTACCCGTGTCATGCAATGCCTGAGGAGGTCAGAGAGGCTGTCGGATCCCCTGGGACTGAAGTTACAGACAGTTGTTAGCTGCCATGTGGGTGCTGGGATTCGAACCTGGGTCTTCTGCAAGAACAACCAGTGTTCTTAACTGCTGAGCCATCTCTCTAGCCACCCCCCCTTTTTTTTTTCAATTTCCATACCAACCAGTTCTCAGCCTCAGCTAAATCTTTTAATTGGATTCAATTCTGACACTGTGTGCTTGGAGTTAGCATTAGATGCCGTGAGTTAAGGCCTCACTCTCATAAGACTGATGCCTCTTCACATGCCTGTTACAAGTCCTTGGCTTCCTACACATATCCAACTTATCAGTTATAAATTGAGGGCCTCACAATACTGCCTCAGGTTCAGTGATTTGCTGGGATGGTTCCTAGAACTCATCAAGGCCCTGTTAAGTATTACCTGCTTATTATAAAAGATACAACTGAGAACAGCCAAGTGGAAGAGAACACATGGTATCTGGGCCCAGCACCTCAGGGTGTTTACCCCTTGGGAGCTCTTTGAAGCCCATCATCATTGATCAAGCCATAGGCCACTGATGAATAAATCAATGTCTGCCTCTTTCTGTTGGAGGTCAGGATGGAGCTGAAAGTTCTAACGCTTACATCCTGCCTTGGTCTTGCTGGTTATCAGCTGGCCCCATCAAGCAGCCTTCCATGGGCTTCTAGCTGTCCATCATCTCAGCATACAAGGCATTCTTCACCTCTGAGAGCCCCAGGATCCAGATGCCCTTAGGTCAGAACCATGGACTAAGGCTACATAGTTTTGTTACAAAAGAAGCTCCTGTCATTCCCATTGCCCTGGAAATTACAAGAGCCTTAGGAACCCTATCAGGAACTGGGAATGAGGGCCAAATATATAT